GTGATGGCGAACCTTTTGAGCTCGGCGTGTCAGCATTTTGAAAACCCTAACTTAACTCTGGTGCCGTGTCACATATAGAAATTTTTTGATATTTGCAACCATAGTAAAGCAAAGATTTATATTTTTGCTATTTATTTTATATATTTAAATGCCATTTAACAAAGAAAAATCAACCAAAAAAATGAGTTCGAGTGTCACCTCTGACACGCGTGTCATAGGTTCGCATCACTGCTCCAGACCCTGGGGCCTCCAGACCCATGTATTTACCAGGTCCGTGAAATCCAGTCCCGAGCTCTCCCTACCGCACCCCGTCCCTCTCCCTGACCTCTTATCCCAAGGGACACCGCTTCTTCCCTGGCTCCTCTTTTTTTAAATATATTTTTATTGCCCCAGCTGGTTTGGCTCAGTGGATAGAGCATCGGTCTGAGGACTGAATGGTCCCAGGTTTGATTCTGGTCAGGCACATGCCCGGGTTGCAGGCTCCATCCCCAGTGTTTTTGTTGATTTTAGAAAGAGAGGAAGGGGAGGGAGAGAGAGAGAGAAACATCAACGATGAGAGAGAAACATCAACGGGCTGCCTCCTGCATGCCCCCCACTGGGGATCGAGCCCACAGCCCAGGGCGTGTGCCCTGATGGAATCGAACCGGTGACCTTTCGGTGCATGGCGGCTGGGCTTCCCGGCTGCTCTCTTGTCCCTCCTCTGCTTCCCCTTCCTGACACATGGCCCCGAGGAAGCTCTTCTTCTGTCACCTTTTCTGTCATTCTCCATGCACCTCTCTCTCCTTTCCAGTCCCAGACACAAAACCTCCGCGCCTGGGGGAGCTGACAGTGACAGGCGTGACCCCGGACTCCGTGGGCCTCTCGTGGACGGTCCCCCAGGGCAAGTTCGACTCCTTCAAGGTCCAGTACAAGGACAGACACGGGCAGCCCCGGGTGGTGTCCGTGGCCGCGGACCAGCGCGAGGCCACCATCGGCGGCCTGGAGCCCCACCGGAAGTACAGGTTCCTGCTCTATGGGCTGGCAGGCGGGAAGCAGCTGGGCCCCGTCACCGCTGAGGGCACCACAGGTGAGCCCAGCCCCGCTCCCACCTTCCCCAGAGCTGGCCCAGGCGCGGCAGTCCCAGCACCCAAAGCAAACCCTCGGGCCCCTGCCCTGCCCGGCCTGCTCTGAGCACTTCACACGTCGCGCCAGTCCCTGCTGGCGATGCCGTAAGGGCCCAGCCTGCGGGGCCCAGCCGACCTGTGTTCAGATCCCAGTGGCCAGCTGTATGGCCATGGCGAGCCATTCCCCCCCCGACCCTGTCCCCACACCTGCATAGTGGTTACGAATACGCTCCTGGAGCTCAGTAAACATCCACATGGGGAGCGTCTGGTGTCACAGGGAGGGCGGAGGGGGTCTCGGACCCTCCCCCACTCCCAGGACCACGAGCCACAGACAAGGGTGGGGCACATGGCCAGTTGGGGCCAGGGGCCCTCGGGCTCCATAATTCTCTTCGCTGGACACTCACGAGGGGACTGGAGACAGACTTCCCCGCGAGCCCCATCCGCACCCACTGCAGCAGGTCTCCCGGCTCGGCCCCGGCTCCTCCCGCCCCTCCTCACCCTGTGAGGCCAGGGGTTCTCGCAGGGATGGGGAAGTGGGTGGGAGGAGGCCAGGCCGATAGAGAGCAAGGCAGTGGTCAGGCCGGGCGGTGGGAGCCGTGAGCTTGGAACTCGTCTCAGCTCTGGCCACCTCTCTGCCCGGGGCCTGGGGGTCGGGGGAAAGCAAGGCCCTTCTCAGCAGCCCCACCACCCCTCCCACACAAGGTGCTTTTATGCACGTCCCGCACCTGCCCACAGCGGCGAGGGCGGGGCAGCAGGCTGGGCCTGCCTCCGGTAGCCGGTCTGTCCCCTCGGGCGCTGTCCTTGGAGCCACACTTCAGGGACCCTTTCCCAGACCCTCACGCCCCAGAAGTTGCCAGGACTGAGGTGTAGGCAGCTCTAAGAATCGCCCCTCTGCCCGTAGCCCCCCTGGAGCAGCAGCAGCCCCCCAGGCTTGCCCCTTCTTCACCAGCCACCTCCATCCCCAGGCCCTCGGCACGGAGTGGGGGTGGGGGAGACACGGGTGGAGACGGTTGGCAGCTCCAATTCAGACCTGGCAGAGGAGCCGGCAGAGCAGTCGTGGCCACAGTGTTGGTGCCCAGGGAGACCCAGGGTGGCAGGCCTCTCGGCCAGCGCAGGGATGTGGCAGATTCAAGAGAAGAAAGATGCTAGAAGGGCCTCCGTCCCTCCCTTCTCCCCACCTGGCTTCCATGGCCAGGTCCCCACCTCAGCCCTGGGCCACTCAGGAGCCGATGCAATGGAGTTGGAGGGCCTGCTGTGTGCACACGCACATGCACACATGCACACATGCAAATACACACGCACAAGACATGCACTCACATGCACACAGACATGCACATACACCCTCAGCTTCTCCCCTGGGCTTCTCTCCCAGCCCCAGAGGACGCACCCACCCCCTGGCAAGCTGCCACAGGGGCCCCCGACACCCCCGGAGGGCCCCGCCTGGGGGAGCTGGCCGTGACCGACAGCACCCCGGACTCCCTGCGCCTCGCATGGACGGTGGCCCGGGGCCCCTTCGACTCCTTCGTGGTGCAGTATTGGGACGCGGACAGGCAGCCCCAGGCCTTGCTCGTGGGTGGGGACCAGCACGTGGTGCACGTGTCAGGCCTGGAGCCCAGCACCGCCTACAAGTTCTTCCTCTACGGCCTCCACGAAGGGAAGCGCCTGGGGCCCGTCTCCACGGAGGGCACCACAGGTAGCGCCAGGCGGGCCTGGGGGGGGGTGCCCAGAGTGGCGAGCAGGGAAAGAACAGGAGGGGGGCCGTGGGGGAGGAAGCGCTGGGCAAGCAGCCCTGGCTCTGCATGTGCTGGGGACCCAGCCCCTGGTCAGCCCCTGCCGGGCAGACGCCAGGGGGGCCGGGGCCCCGGCTGTCCCAGCTGTCCGTGACTGACGTGACCACCAGTTCCCTGCGGCTCAACTGGGAGGCCCCCCCTGGGGCCTTCGACTCCTTCCTGCTCCGCTACGGGGTCCCGTCAGCAAGCACTCTGGAGCCGCATCCGCGTCCCCTGCTGCAGCGGGAGGGGA